CCATCTCAGCATCCTCATCAATGGTCAATTTTTTTTTCTACTCCAAATATTCCATTTCAGAAGAGAGCAAGGTAGCAGAGTTGATATGGTACACAGGGCATTGAATCAAACTATATTGTTTGCAAATAGTTATTTCCCCCACCCCCTACAACATTCTGTATTGCCTAAGAGCACATTCAAATAATCCTAAAACACACTTTTCTGGTATAATGGACATGATTCAGGGGAAAACACAAACCTTGTCTAATCATAACTGCAAATTTGCATGCAGTTCTAGAACCACCAAGATGTTTATGTCCAATAACCACAGAAGATCCAGTGACAATGGCCAAAGAAATAAGGCATGGGACACATGAAGAGGTACAAGACTCACAGCCACCCCCTTATCCAGGTATTTAAGATATATCAACTCCTTTGTCCTGTGCTGCCAAAGGGAATTAGAAATGTCTGATGAACTACGATTTGGTGACCCCTCACGTTTGAGGCTGCTGCTTTCAGAACTGGCCTATGTGTGTGGACAGTTGACTGAAAAGGTGGAGAGACGACTGGCTGACTAATGTGACCTCACCAGATGGGCTCAGGCAGCCCTCCTGTACTCCCATAATGCCCTGTTCCTCGCACTACCATTGGGCCAAACTGCCGTATTCTAACACTTCTCTGCCTCTCACTAACCCTCATATCATAATACTCTGATCTGTCTCCATCATCAGTTGATAGCTTAAGGACACAGACCAGGCTTTATCCCCAAATCTAATCCAAGGCTCCTTGTAGAGTAGAAGCCCCATCAAAAGTTTGCTTCTTGTATGCAGGAATCAACAATGAACTTACACAATGCTGTTCTTGTGCATACAAAGAGGCATCCCCTTCACTTTCAGATGCAGCCACTATTTACAACACTGCTCTATATTCACAGCCAACATCTCACCCCATTTGAGCCCTGTTCAGTTCCCGAAGTCATCTTTGTTCTGGTTGCTGCTCTTCCTTCAATCTGAGTTGAAGCTATAGTTTGTACTTCTGGTATTTCTTTTGCCCCTACAGGAAGGACAGGCCCCCTTGCAGGCCCCACACAGCAGCTATCTGACCAACCTGCTGGTGTGTCTGCCAAGTTCACAGTGACTATGCCCAGCCCAGCAGAGCTGTGTTACAGCTGGCATCAAGGAGGGCACACTGGCTATGTGCCAAGCCCTTGCTGTTAGGAAGCCCATATTGTCATATAATGTTAAATGGGCCTTCTAAGTGTCTGGTGAAATGGCTCCCAGAGCCAGAAAGACCTTCTAACAAGCAGGCATTGTAACTTAACTGTTTTACCTGTGCAATCTTACCTCCTCCTCCAGATTATGAACTTCTTAAGAGGCTATACTGGAAGACCTCCTTGGAAATCCCCTAAAGACCTAGCAAAACATTCTCTGTGCAGTGAGCTTTCAATTAGTACTTCTGTATTTATGAACAACCACGTCCATCAACATTTCCTGGCCCCAGCCTCACATTAACAGGTGCCTTTACACACTATTTTCATTAAGTGCACAGAGCAGATCTCCAGGAAGAATCATTATCCCCAGTTTTGCAGATAAAGATCACCCTTGTAAGTGGCAGAGCAGGAACCCAGGCCTTCAAATATCCAATGTGGAGTTCTTTCCACTCTGCAATGCTACTTGATTAAAAACTTGTTGCATGAATGAATAAGCAGAAACAAGTCTCCCTGGACACAGCCACTCTCTGCTCCCCAGATTTCAACACTGATGGCTTCCCTCCACCAGACCCCTGAGGAGACAATGATTAGGTTTTTGACTTTTCCCCATGATGTATGATGTCTGCTGCCAGGAGGGCAGTATTCAGTGACAGCTTTCCCAGGACACTGCAAAATTAGTTTTTGAGGGGCCTCAAAAAATCATTTAAAGTTTTTTTTTTAATTTTTCCATTACTAAAAAGGAACGAAAAACACAAGTAGGCAGCCTCCATTAGAAAACCTTTCCGAGAAAATCTTTAAGATAAACTGCTTTTCAAACTATCTATCAGCAAGTACAAAAACTATGCAACAGGAAAATACAGTGTTGAAAGAAGTCCTGGTTTTTGTTTTAATAAAATTACCCCTTGCAAACTCCTGTGAGCAGTATGGGCTGCCATTTGAAATTCTGTAACAAACCTCATTGGAGGGCTACTTCGCAATTTCTCAAAATTAAAAATTATCTTTGGAGAATTTCAGCAGCAGCAGATGCAATTTAAAAGTCTGAAAATAGGCTTTTTACATATAAACTGATGTACAGAAAGTTTCCAGTCAAATAAGATGTTGTCCTGAAAGGTTTGCACTGTGCTCAGAATGCCAAGGTCAAATAAAAGGAGTCAATCCCTTAACTGAAGTCCAACACTATTTTCCTGTAATGAGACATAACCTCTCCCCCAACCTCTCAGGTCTGCATATGGACATCTGACCTTGCTCACCTTAATGTCCATATGAGGCTACCTACCTCTGAACAGCAGGTTAGCTCTACAACTATAAAATCCAACATTCCACAAGGGAGGACTATATAATCTGCAGTTTAGGTAACTAAACCCACATAATTTCAGACCCACTGTACAAATCCCAAAGGTTTACAGAGGAAATGTGATGCTTGAAATCTTCGTTCTAAGGGCCCAAAGAATCTAACCTGTCTTCGATTTTGCAAGTATCTCCCCCTCCTAAGAAGGCTGGTGGTCTAACATAACTAAAAAAGAGACTATCCCCAATTTCTCCAGATGGAGCCAAGTGGCAGATCAATGTACAGCTCATGAAGAGGAATTTGAATACAGTATGTGCTTCTCCTTTCAAAAAAGGAGAGAAGCCACTTCACATTTTGCCAGACAAAACCCTGTCCCCAGGAGGCCAGTTTCCACAATGAGGTTGCAAAGGTGTTAGAAAGAGGCCAGTTGGGAGGAGATAAAGGGCCATTTGGGCACAAACCCCCCACCGATCAGAGCTTTTTTTTTCCTGAAGTGTCTCCTTTTCAACTGGGAAGCCTTTTAAAACATTTGCTTTGGATCTCTACCTGAATGTCAATGTGTTGGGATCCAATTTCACCTTTTGTCAAGGATCGGATGAGAAACAGTAAACCTGCTGTCAGCATCTTAGGAAAAGCAAGTCCTTAGCTTAGATGGGAAGGGGGAAAAAAACCCGTAAGATCTTTTGCCGGCCCTAGTGATGGGGTGAAGGTGACAAATACCTGCTAATCTTACAAGCACAGCCCCAAACTGCAACATGTTAAAACATAGTTTCCTTTATTAAAAAAGTTATCTCTATGTAAAAATACAACTGTTTGTGCTCTAAATTGAAAAACTCATCAATGGACAAAAAATTCAGTCTTTTCCTACATTTTAGTTCCATTTCCTCTAAGTCACTTCATTCCTAAGAACTCTGTCAGCAATCATTAGAAATCAGAAAATGCATATGGAAAAATTATAACTGAATCTGAACCTGAAAGATCTTGCACAGAAAAGGACAGTTAAATGATGTATTTAAAAGCTTGTCTATTATTATGTAAATGAAGAAAATCCGACTCTATTGCACTTCAGGGCGGGGTGTCTGCAAATATAGAATTACCTTTCAGGCAAACTACCCTCTCTTCAACCTCACCTCACTCTTAAAAAAAAAAAAAAGTCTAATCTTTCACTACAGAGGAAAAGGTCTGCGCAAACGGCTTTAGTAAAATTATTATCATCCTAGGAGGCGACTGGGAGGCAAAGCGAAGGGGGGAAGGGAGTAAGGTTTAAAAAAAAAACACGTCAGAAACCTGAATCCTGAAGTGATTCAAAACACTCTGCTGGTGGGAGACGGAAGGTGGTCCTAAGTAGAATTGAAGTCAGAATCCTATTCCAAGAACACACTCCTAGAAACTTCACTCTTTCGAAGACCGCATTCATCACCATTATTGTTGTTAGAATGCATAAAAGAATGAGGTCATTTTACAGAAGAATGTTAGAGTAAAGGATTCAGACTCGAAATGTCACCTCAATCTCTCCTAATTGAATGGGCCTTTTCGGCCAACTAGATTAAAATAACGATGGGTAAGACTCTCCAGGTGGTTGCTGTTTAGAAATGTTCACTACTATTGGTCATTAGTAACATCTTCAGGGTTCCTTATCAGGGGCGGGCAATCTTTTCTGTAAACCACCTTCCTCCACTGGGGAGGGCCGACCTGGTAATAATCTGGAAAAATGGAACCTTATTCACTGTGTTCCCTTTTTCCTCCCACCAAAGGCATATACAAAACAAAAATCATGCAGTGGACAGCGCGCAGAACGACAACAGCCAACAGCAGATGCAACAATAAAGTCCTCGGCACAGGACAAGAGTCGGGAATCCACTAGGAATCTACGAGGCCACCCCTCCCCCAATGCACCGGGCGGGGAAAGGGAACGCAGAATCCACTCCGAGGACACTACGCCGGGCCCCGGGTGGCCTTGCAGCAGCTGTGCGCGCCGTGGTGCCTTCCCTCTCCGATCCCATCCACGCTCCTGGGTCTGGAGGACACCAGGAGGTGGTCAAGGGGGTCGGGGGGCCTCAAAAAATCATGCGGACCAGGCGGCGCCGTAGGTCCCAGGATGGGTACACAAAGAGGGAAAGGGAGTTTGCAGGGGTGGCGGGCTGAAAACAAGACTCGAAGGAAATTCGTGCAATTTAAGAAAGGAGATGCGAGGGAACTGTAGAATCCTTGCCGAGATAAAGAAGCTCTGAGTGGGGGTCGAGGGGAGAGTGGGTTCCGTGCAAAGGGCAGGGGTTTCTGCAGAGGAGAAAGAGAGCGGTACCTGAGTGCATGGAAGAGGAACTGGTGTGTTATCGGGGGACGGGGGTGCGGGGTGAGGGTCTGTGCAAAGGACAAAGGTGTCCGTCCGGGGGAAAAGGAGGCGCTGTACATGCCAGAGGTCTGTGCACGGTCGAGGGAACCCGTACTGGGAAATGGGACGGGGCTCTGTGCAGAAAAGAAAGGGTGCCCGGCAAGTTAGGGTCGCAAGGGGGGGCAACTTACCTGCATGGTGACGACCCCCAGCTCCTCGGCTGCCAGCCTCCTCATCTGGCTCGCCAGCACTTGCGCCTCTTCCAGGATGGAGAAGTCGGCGTCAGCCACATCGCCCAGCAGCCAGCACGCCACCAGGCAGAGCAGCCAGAGGGGCGGCCGCCGCGCCCCGGCCCGGGCCGGCGAGCCCCAGTAGCCGCGGGCCAGGGCGGCTGCCCCCGCCGTCTCTTCGTCCTCCGGCTCGCGGGCCATGCTGCCACCCCCCACTACCCGCCGACAGGCTCCAGGCGCCGGGAAGCGGGGAGGGAGCCGCGGGAGGTGCGCCCAGGGCCGGCTCGGCGCACCCTGCAAAACTTTCTTGCCCTTCTGCAGACGCCTGTCCGCGCCGCGGCGGCGGCGGCTCCCAAACTTAGGGGGCGCCCGCTACAGCGCGGGAGCGCTGGCGGCCACCATCGCCGGGCTCCGGCGGCGGGCGGGAGAGGAAGCGGCCGCCAGAATGGTCCCCGGGACCCCGCCGCCGGCGCGGCCCCCGCGGTGCGGCGGGCGTCTCGGAGGGCGGAGGCGCCGCACCGGGGGGCGCGGGCCGCGGCGCTGACAGTCGGAGCCGCGCGCGGCCGAGCTTTCGCTTCCCCAGAGTCCCGGCGCTGCGAGGCGGAGGCGGCGCGGGCGGGCGGCGGCACCCACGGGGAGGAGCGGCCACCCGGCTGCGAGGCTGGGGCAGCCGCCCGAGCGAGGAGGGAGAGGGGGAGGCTTTAAAAAAAAAAATGTGAAAGCAAGCACGCCAGCGGTGGGGAAAGGGAGGTGTCTGGTGCCACCACACTGCGCTCCGGCTCCGCGCACTTCCCGGCTCGGCCGCCGCCGCGGCTGCGGTGATTTATGGAACGAGGAGAGAGGCGGGGAAAGTCCCCCGGCCGCCCCTCCTCCCTTCCCCTCGCTCCCGCCTCAGAGCCGGCCCCCCTAGGCGCCGGGGGCAGGAGAGCGGGCTCTCTGCTGGGGTGCCAGCCCTGCCGGGGTGGGGTCACTTGGACCTTCGCGCTGCCGGGGACAGCGACGCACCCCGGCTCTCACCGCCTCCGCCAACGCGAGGGACTCCGGGATCCCACTCGATGAACGTTCCACCCACCGAAAGTCCCTTTAAGTTCTAGGACGCTGGCTTTCTGCCTGGCAGAGATTTGGGAGGGAGAGAGCGGCCGTTTGTACAGCCACTGATTTTTCTTCCATGTTACTAGTAACAATAGCTAGCACTCGGTGGATCAACAGATTTCTTTTTTAACCAGCTACTGTGTGCCCTGCACGGTGCTCCGGGGTTTGTATACATTATCCTTTAATCCCCACCACATCCCTATGAGGTATGTGTCTTTATCCCAAATTTTTAGGTAACAAAGACAGGCTTAGAGAGGTAGAATAAATGGCTGGAGGTCACTCGGGGGTTAAGAGACAGATCCAGAATTTAAGCACAAGTCTGACTCCAAGGCTCTTGCTTTTAAATCCGACACAGTTCTTTCTGTCTCTCTTTGGAAGTGAAACCTCTGATCCCATCAAAAGCAAAAACAAACAAAAAACAAGCCCACAAAATTCGTGAACTGGAGTCGGCCCCACATCTGTTCTCTGAAGCATGGGGAGGCAAGGTTAACCATCTTATTTGCTCCTGCCTCCTGGCTCAGGCGCTCAAGAGAAATCACCTGTTGGAAGCACCTGGAACAGGATGAGGATTGCAATGGGGGAGGAGATATGGTGAGGCTGCCATTCTTCCTTCCAAGTATTGTGAGGTTGCAGCTTGTGGGGTCCTAGGAACAGAGCCATGCCCCCAAGGATGAAGGGCTGCCTAGCAGAGGTGGTAGCAGGACTAGACCCTGGATTTAGTGCTCTTTCCCCTTTACAGCAAAACCTATTACTTCTTGACTATATTGAATTAAAAACTTACCTATAAGCTTTCCCTGGCCATTTTTACCTCTTTGTGATTTTATCTGTTCTCAGTTTCCCAACTGGTGTTGTCTCCTGTGCATGTTTTCACTTTGTGACACTCTGCAGTCTGTCTCAGTGGAGACACGCAGCACCACGGCTTAGGATCTGCAGTGTTTGTTTTGCATTAACTCCCTCATACTGGGACTAAGGTAAGTCCACCCACCTCTCCATCGTCCACACTTAGCTTATTACCAAGCATAAAGTAGGTGCTGTGAAAATGTATCTTGAATTAGTAATAGGATTTTTACAGTTCTACATGTTATCTTTTGTCCCCAGGGTTGAATTGACATTTGGTAGAAAGATAATCCTAACTTCTGTTTTTTTATTGTTATACCATCATGCATGATAGTTAATCAGTGAGACAAAGCATATTAGTCTATGTGGTGAGTGGAAGAGAAAAAAAACAGAAATAATAGTGGCAGATAAGATTATTAACTTTTTGTATCCTTCAAGGTAACTGTTATCAAAGTTGCTGCACACCTCTAAGCTATCCTTCTGAAACTCCTTCAAAATGGCTTATTATTGTTTGCCCATCCTTTGTACATTGGCATTTGTTGGGGTACTGTTTCTCAGGATTCCAATCCTATGTGCCCTCTTTTCACTTCCAAGGTTCTTTTTGAGAACACTCATGCCTTCTGTTGAACAGTATTTCAATGATCACTAAGACATCAGAGTTTTGCAAACTTCTCAACAAAGCTGTCTCCCTTTTGAGCTGTATTTGCTTTTTTCCAACTGTTTGCTGGCTTCTGTACTAGATATACATGAACTAAAACTCAGTACTGCTTTCTCTCATTCTCCACCTAAATCTGTACCTGATTACAAATCTGGCTGGACGTCACCCACTCTCCAAGCTAGGTACCTTGCACTCTACGTCCACTCGCACTCCGTATCTCTAGTATATGTCTCCTGCTTTCCTGTATCCCATTGACTGACTTCAGCTCCTCATCACAGCTCACCTGCATTATGACCAAGTCCCATCTCAGGTCTCCAACTAGTCTGTTTTACCTCCATTAAAGTCATCTTTCTAGAAGTCAGACCTGAATTTGTCTCTCAGTAACCTACACATTTCTGATGCCCCATCGCAGAGAAATAAACTTAACAAGGCTCTTTGTGCTCTGGTCTATCTGCCCATCTAGGCTGAGTGAAGCCACTCTGGCCCCCAAATGCCTCACCACCTCCAGAAAACACTTTTGCTGTTTGAAATCTTGAAAGCCTTCCCCATCTCTCCACTTGGCAAACTCCTATTAAGCTGAGATGACACCTCTGTGAAGCCTTCTTTCACACCACAGAAGTTACTGTTCCTTCTTTCCTGCTCCAAAGCTCTTGATTCTTCTCTCATCACTTAATGTTCTCCAGCATTTAACATGCAGCACTGTGGTCATTCATTCAAAAGTCTTATTTTCTCATTAGGTTCAACAACAACCTCTATGTAGCCTTAGGGAACTCTTAATAAACAGCAAATCCTGGGCTCTACCCCACATTTACTAAAGCAGAACCTCTAGAGGTGGGCAGGGTCCTAGAATATGCAATTTATAGACAACTCCACTCTCCCCAGTGAGTCTTATGAATCACTGTTAATACTGCAAACAAACTCCCCAGGATGACAGTTCATTCATCTTGGAGCACTAGCATTGAGCCCAGGGCCTTCATCCAATAGGCTCTCAACATCCAGGAATGGCCACAGGACATGGCCAATGAGGAAAAGTCGCAGAGAAATAAAGTCATATAAAGGTAATTTTCAGATGGTGGTGCAAGAATGTAAACCTGAGGCTTTAAACACTAAGTGGCAAGCTCTGAGCTACGAGTCTGGTGTCAGAGAGAATGTTTACACTTGTATGCGATAGACCTACAAAAGTTTGTTGCCTGATAAACTACTAATCCTTGATGTCCCCATTCCATGTAAGTGAAATTGCCCCACCATCAACCCCTGCTTAGCACTAGTTGATTGTTTTCCAGGGGGGCAACTGACTGGACCAGGGTAGGCATGTGATGTGAAGGTAGCCAGTCAGTAGCACCTAAGGAATGGCAAAAAGATTATCTAGGACAAGCAAATTTTCATTCTCAAAAATCTTAGGCAGGAATTAAGTACTAAGAGAAAAGAAACATAAGTGGTAGTTGGAACTAAAAGGATATAGAGTCCTGAGAACCATGAGTCCCATAATACATATCACAAGAATACGTAGCTGTAATATACAATATATATTTTTATATATAGTTATATATATTGTGTAGCTATTATATACACACACGCACACACGCAAAGACATGTACATATGGCTATATATTCCCTGATCTGTATCTATAGTTATATATCTATATGTATCTCCATATGTGCATATGTGTAAGCATACAGCCATATAGTCCAGTAGCTAAGAGCATAGATCTTGGGATCAGAAAACCTGGGTTTGGATCCCAAGAACTATACTTATTATGTGTTTTCTCTATAAACTTAACTTCTCTTAACCTCAGTTTCTTTATCCGTACAAATAATAATAATACCCAGAGTTTTTGTGAAAAGGCCCACAAGGCCCAAGTTTCGTTCCTTCCATGGGAGCCTCCATTTGGATGACAGCTGTTTTTTTTTTATTTTAAAAATTGAAATTTATTAGGATTTATTAGTAACACAATTACACAGAATAAAGTTCAGGAATGTATCAATGACGGTCACCAATATGTGCTTCTTTGTGGCTTTTTAAACTGTTTTTCTCATGATTCATATTTATTCATAGTACAGCTGAATTTCATACACAACTTCACAACATGGATATTACAGGTCTTCCCTCAGTGAAATTAGTGAAAACATCTCTCATGAAAGGCACATAAAGAATCTAAACTAACACAGTTAAGGAATTTTGATAATTCTGAATTTGTTTACATGTCCAAGAAGAAAAACAAATCCTCCAAATTAAACAGATATAAATGCAGTTTGCACCTTGTACACAGAGGTGCCCATTAAATAGTGGGTAAGATTCAGCACACTGAAGTTATGAGACAGAAAACGTCACAAATAAGCTAAGAAAGCCAATAAGAGAACAGAGGGGAACACAGAGAGCTTGTCGCCTGAGAGACCATCACCAAGACCTAGAACTAACTTTCCTACTGCAGTTCCAGTCTCTATGTTCTATTAATAACAAACTCCTTTTTTTCTCCCCTTTGTCTTGATGAAACTCTAAGGATCAAGTTCAGTCATCTATTCCATATTGAGAGGACAGTACTGACTCTTTAGCTAATTGAACTGCAAAATGATGAAAAACCTGGTAACAGTCCACAACAGTCCCTAGAAGACCATAGACCACCATAGAACTTGTCTGATGGCTTTACCTTCTCCCCAGAGACCCCAGGGACCAAGCTGGACATCTGTTCATTATTCCTTTCCTCTCCAGAAGCTCCATGACTTAACATGCAGCCTGGTAATGATCCACTTGCAGGTCTGTTTTCTCCATCTTAATGTTTCTCAAAGTATGTCTACAACCACCTAGAGCAGAATCACCTGTCAGAGACTGTCTGCTTTACTTATGGCCACAGAGTTAAGCACAATTCCAGACCCA